GGGCCGGGCCCGGCCCGGCGCGGCGCGGCCGGTGGAGCTTCCCAGCTGGGACGTGGCTCTGCTCTCTCCAGGAATCCAAGAAGCACCTGGCCGGCCTGGGTGTTCTGGGACTGGGCAACTTGATCACTGAGATCACAGCCAGCGAGGAGGACAGCCCGGAGGCCGATGGAGCCCACCTGGACGAGGAAGGTTAGGCACTGCGGTACCTTGAGTTAAGTGACGGAGGGGCTGCAGGATCAGAGCTCTTGAGAGGAAGAAACACACCCTGGTCATCTGGGGCTGCAAGGAATATCGTGATGTTATCTGGTCAGAGGTCCTCTGGCAAAGGCCTTGCCACCTTCTTCTTGCCCGAGTGAATCGCACCTTACCTGCTGGTCACTTTTGCACTTGTTCCCTTTCATTTTTTTAGAAGTGTTTTGTTTTTTTTTTTTTTTTACTTGTCTCTTCTTCCCTCATAAATAGGTTTATTCTGTGTTTTCCCCTGTATTAAATAAGCCTATTTAGTGCACAGTGTTATTACGTCTTTATTTCTGAGCTTGTTGAACGGTTTCACTGAGCAAGTGAAAGGTGTTCCTTGTGCTAAAGTTGGTTACTTACCAATCTTCAGGGGAAATTCAGAAGTCTTGGTGCTTTTGTGTTGGATTGAGGGGAAAAATATTCCGATGGGAGATATTAATCAGATGCTTTTGTTCCACCAAGGAAAGGAAACATAGGAAAGGATTCATATGGACATAGTGAAGTCTGAAGTTGATAATGTATATTAGGATAAAGTTTTGTGTGACTAGATTTCTTTTTTTCCTAGGCTGGGTTAAGAGCACGGAAGATGCTGTTGATTATTCAGATATTAATGAAGTGGCAGAAGATGAGAGCCGTAGGTATAAGCAGGCAATGGGCAGCCTGCAGCCAGTTCGAAGACCAGGTAAATGGGATTAGCATTACAGCTCTAGCTATAGAAAGTATTTTGGGACAACTGTGTTCACTGGATGAAGCCACTGCTTGATATCTTCCTTTTTTAAGGAATTAGTTCCTTGTTAGGGTTCAGCTATGCTCAGAAGAGAAGCCAGGATCCTTCTTTTGGTCTGGGATCCCCTGCAGAGAATTCCAAATACCTGCTCATATTTATGTAACCTGTATTCTTAGGAAGACAGTTATGCAGGAGGCCAGATGCTTCTCGGAGATACTGAAAGGTAGAAGTAAGGTCCTGATCCCTTAGAGAGTCACTTCAATCTTAATATCTCTCTCCTATTTTACCCTTGAATTCTTTTTCTGAAATGACTTTCTGCAGAAGGCACTTTGGTTCTTTCATCTGTCCTAGGGATCTCTGTCTGGCCTAGAACAGATTTTCAAAAATACGCAGCTTTTCCCTTTCAGTAGCTGCTAGTGTAAATGCTAAATCTTTGCATATTCTTTAAAGCTGCCTTACACAACTGTGGTTAGTGGGATGTAAAGGTGATTTAGGCTTTTTAACCACATTTTTCTTCCTTCTTTAGCAGCTTTATTTGCTCTGGAAAGCATGAATAAGGGGAGGCAATAGCAGAAAAAAAAAATTATATATATATATAAAGAGTGCTTCAGTCATCTTTCTGTCAATTTGTCTTTTTCTATCCTTCCCACTCTTTCTTAAATTTCAATCTTGCAAATGAGTTTGTGCAGGAAGCCAGACTTCTGAGGGTTTTGCATCTAGTAACAGAATGAGAATGGTCTCCTTACTAATGAGAAGACATGGTCTTCTCATCAGGTTGGGACAGGTGTGAGAGAGTATAAATGGGAAGGATGCCTTGTTCTCTTTTATTATATGCTTAATATGTAGTCTTGTCTCCTGACTGGTTAGATGAAGATGAGGATGATTACGATGCTGACTGTGAAGATATTGATTCCAAGTTGATGCCACCGCCGCCACCACCTCCAGTTCCTGGAAAGAGAGAAGATGAAAAGGATGCAGCTGCCACTGGTGAGTGGGGACTTTCTTCTTCTCTCTGGCAATATGAATGTCTGAAGGAAGCACACACTGCTGTGTAGCAGTTTGTTCTACGGCAAGCACCATGCATCGTCAAAATCTGGTCTGCAGACTGCATCTAAAGGTGGGTCTTTGTCCTGATATACAAAGCATGGGATTGTCTGAAATGTAGGGTGAAATATTGTATTTCCAGTGATTGTTAAAATACTGATATTGACAATGAAACTGATTTTTTATCTCATCCTCTCAGTTGTGGCTGGGAAATTCACCTGGAACACTTAGGATAAAATGAAAGGTTAAATCAGAATGGTACTCGTAACACCTGCAGAGGCTTAAGTTTTGCATGACTTGGTATAAACAGTAGATGTGACATTATGGGTTTGTACTAGGGAGGAAACCTGTTTGTTTATAAGGTGCTTGTTCTATTGTAGTATCTGAAGATGGAGACGGTATCATTTTGCCCTCCATCATTGCTCCTTCCTCTGCTGCCTCCGACAAGGTGGATTTCAGCAGCAGCTCTGATTCTGAGTCAGAGATGGGACCTCAAGAAGCCAGGCAGGCAGAATCCAAGGAAGGCAAACTCACACTTCCTCTTGCAGGAATCATGCAGCGAGATGCTACCAAACAGTTGCCAAGTGTTACAGAGCTCTTCCCGGAATTTCGACCAGGCAAGGTATTGTAAGAGATACATGGAAGTGACAGAAACTGTATCATGTAAGCCTATACGAATCATGTAGTATTAAGGGTATGTAGTAAGTAATCACATAGATGTTCTTGCTCACCTCAGTACTTTCTTTAGTTTCTGTGTGCTGCTCTTTCAAGACTTCTTAACATGTAATGCTTTTCCTGCTATTTGCAGGAGCCTCTTAAAAAGCATCATGTAAATCAGGGTGTGAAATAATGTTTTGCTATTCTGTAAGACCACAGCACAGGCCTGTTGATGTGTGAAAATTGGTTTTCTGAGGCAGTAGAGAATTCTTTTTCCAGATCATTAAAACCCATCATGCTAATCTGTCTGCTTTCTGGCTTTTCTGGCAAATATTTGCTCCTCCTTTCGTGCTTTCCTGAAACAATTTGTGATTTGTATCCTTCAGTTAACCTCAAAACTGCTCTGAGTATGGATCAGAAATTAGCTCAATAACAAGTTGGTTGAAAGAATGATCATTTTTTGCACAAAGCTAATTCATTACAATACTTTCCTAAATGCTCCCAAATAGCAAATGTAGTCGATGTAATTATTTCAAAAGTTTTAAAGCTGTCAAGAGGAGAGGAAATGTGGGAGAGGAAGGAGAATAAAGATGAGCTTATAGTTGCCAAACAGATGGTTGTGAGCCAGGATAACTTGGTTTTATGTGTGACTCCATCACAGGCTTTGTGTAAGGAGCTGAGCAATCTGCATAACGAAATGTCATGTTTTAATGATTTAGCTAATCTTTGTCTATTGGAAATCAGGGCGAGGCTGTAGCACAGAAGTTAGGCTTCTGGATGCTCTGTTGGCTTTGGTGTTTCCTGTATTGCTGTATTTTTTATCAGTTGGTGTGTTCATTTCTTTGGTGCTCAACACGTAATGCCAGGGACTGGTTCAGTGTTGGAATGTGCCCAGTGGGTGCAGAAATCAGTGCAAGCTATTAATGCTGAGCACTTTTCATAATTAATTCATGAGCACTAGAGCCAGCAAAGCCTGAAATCCTGTAGATTTGGCTGAGGATTGGTTGATACCTGAGAATGTGCTTGTTAATGTAGCACCGTTTTTCTTGATGAAACCACTTAAAATAGCATGTGGAGAAGCAGACTTTGTGTTTCTTTAAACTGTTAGTAGCTTAACTATGTCTGAGACCTTTGCCCTTGGTGAAAGCTCACTGAAACTGGCCAAAGGGTTCAGAAGTAATCTGGAGGAGTTTGGGGAAGAAGGATAACGTGGATGTGGGCAGAGCGTGACAGAGTGGTCATAGAAACATTATTTCCTTTGGGGATCAGCATGACAGATTAACAGGGAACGTGAATAGGATGTGTCTTTACAGATCTTTCGTTCTAATTCATGTTTCCTAAATCTGTCAGTTAATTTGGGAATAATGCTTTCCCTCTTTACAAGAGTGCTTTGAAGAAAAAAGTGCTTAAAAACCAGCAATCATAGTTGTAGAAGAAACAGAAGAGACGGTTTGTGATTGTCATTAGTGCAGGTTCTGGAGGTATGCAGTATGCCTATAAGGGAACTGCATTATGATGGAAATAAAAATGAGTGTATTATTTCTGGACCATGGTATTTGTTTTTATTTGGTCGCTTAAGAAATCTCTGCTTTATATAACTGTCTTCTAGCTTTGTCTCTTTTGCTAATAATTTTATCAACTCTTCTTCAATCTCCATGTGTCTTTCTGAAGGTTGTGAATTGTTCAAAATGAAAATAATTATTTCTAGGCGGTGTCTTACCACATGCCCAATATGTAAAGGCAATCTTTCTTCCCTCTGAGTTTCTTTGTGTCTGAAATTAAGAATAAGTACTTTTGAAAAGGAAGGATCCATCAAACAGATGGATCAGAAACTTTTTTCAAGTATAACCAAGAGATTGTTGATTGCATCAGGGATTGTGATTGTAGTACAGGCCAGACTTCTGAATTTCAGAGTGCTCTCTTTCATTACTGCTTTTCAGATGAGGGAAAGACAGACAAACATTCAACAGTCGTTTTTTTCCTATGACTCTCTTGTTTTTTTGTATTCTAG